CTAACCTTTCTGACAAGTGCATGTTGGGTAGTAAAGTGTTACACCCACCCAGGAACAAGGGTTATAACAATGATCTGCTTTGTTTAACAGCTGGTGATTCCAGTTTAAGAGATTATCAATTGGGATTGCTCTGATTACAATCACTTAAAAACACAAAACAGATATTCTGCTCCTGGTGCTGTGTAGTGTCTTCAGGAAGCACTTCTTTACACAAAGGATTGTGGTGAATTTTGAAACAAAAGTTAGTTAGACAAACTACTAGAAACCTCTAATGAGTTTGCAAACTGTGTTGTTTAGTTTGTCACTATGTAGTTTGGAACTATGCAATTCGGCTTATTAGTAGTTTCACTGGACCAATTTACAAATTCACTTCACAAGGTTTTGGTGATTTAAAGAGACCTATAAAAAAAACAGTTGTTCTCTTCTGATTATCGACTTCATCTCCAGGCAAAAGAATGAGCTAAAACTGTTAATGAGCCAAGGTGTTTTTTTCCTCAGCTGATTTCTGGGAATTTAAGTTGGGTTATGTAGATTATATTTTAATTAAATCTTTTGTGCTTTGAATTGTGCCATCGTGGAGTCTTTGCGTTTCTTGCAATTATCTTTAGTCACACACCCATTGGAAGAGTCATTTGGAGACAGAAACACACCCAAAGCTGTGTTCCGGGACAGAGCGAAAACCTGAGATGGAGTTTCCTTGTGCTTTAGACACCTTTCTCGCAAGATAGCCTAAACCTCTGCCTTTTTACCCTTCTCTGCCTTACATTAAGAGCACATTGTGACTATCCCCGAAATGCATTCCTCATTGCAGTCTTGATCCCAGACAGCCTGTGTCAGTACAGGTTTTCATTCCTTCTCATTTTACAATTTGGCTCTTAAAAAGCTCGATCTGCTCATTACTGGGACACATTTCACAGCTTCTTCCAACTCTGGGGTGCTGCTTTGAAGAGACCTAGAAAGCCTGCAGAGACAGGTCTGGGATTACTCTCCCCTGATTTCGGAGGTGTTTGAAGGTTGTTGTTTTCAGTTCTCTGTGGCTGGGCTTCCCAAACTTAGACGCCCAGGCACTTGCAGGTTTTCAGTCCAGCAGAGTTTCATTACTTAATTGAAGCCTCAACAAGTGGCTCAATTGAAACTTGACTTTATGTCCACTCAAAGATTTGGAATTTTATGATGAAATGTAATCGATAAAGGCAACCGCCACAGAGTCAAACCATTCAAATACATTTTTTATGAAGTCAGTTACCAATTGTGTTTTGTAACCGAGAGCCGGGCTGGAACAAAATACAAACAGGTGTGTGGGCATCGGGGAAAAGGACTATGATTCCTTGGTCTAGACCACAACAATTCCAACAATTACCACATTCATTAATCCAAGGATCTAATCGAACTTGTTCCACACTCCCACAACTCTTTGTGTACAGAAGTGCTTCCTGTTCTCCATTTTAAATGGGGATAGTTTCTACTTGTGTCCTCTGGTTCTCCAGTCAGTAAAATAACCTCTAGTTGGTAAACCACAGAAATGCCAGTTAAATGGGCCCTGGAATAAGTGTAACCAGTAGTATCTGTTTAAGAAGACAGTGTGGTAAAACAGAGTGAAAAGCTCCTTGTTCATAATTAGCATAGTCGCAAGGTTGAAGGCATGTGGCATAATGACAACTGAACCCTGAAAACACATCCATTCCCTTATTTTCCATTTGGAGGTCAGCTCAATCTCACGGACGAATAAGGAACCCAAGGAGATCTGTTTTTCACAGTTTATGTAGGTAACCTTGAATGGCATTTTTTACATTTGTTCATGCTGAGTGCTTGAAGCTCTTGCAGCTTTGTCCACCTGTGAAAAAAAAGCTGTCCATAGGGTAGGAGTATGGTGCAGCAGGTAGGGCTCTGGACTGCCAGCCCTGGTGGTCACAGGTTCGAATCCCAGGTTGGAAGCTGATGAAGAGGATACTTCATTCACTTCACTTGAACAAATTCCCTGAATATAGTCATGGGAATGGCCTCCAGGTCATCATTGCAAAGGAGCATTTCTTTGCAGTTGATTTAGCTGGTTAAATAAAAGATCCGTTTTTTAAGGGTGTATATACAGTAGGTGTTTTGAAACCTGCGGCGCCTCGAGAGCTCAGGAAACCTGTTACCTGTTCCAGGCTGGCCAGTTGTTCATCTGGCAGGGTCATTGAGAGCTGAGCTGTAATACAAGCCCGCAGAGACTGGTGCCCACAAGGAGTTCCGTAGGGCTTCCCTGACCCACCTGTTAAAAATTCCATTTGATTTCTTTTTGCTCAACTGTCAGGAGAAAAATCACTTATTGTACAACCTCACAGAGCGTCCCGCAGCTTGCGGGAATACGTTTTGCAAAAGGGTGAGAGCCTAGGTCATTGCAGTCACATCCAGAACAGTTGTCTGTACGGCAGGCTGTAGTGCAGAACTTAATCCGTGTGTAAAGTGTAGAGGTGTTGAGAAAGAGACTTATTTGTAAATGAACAATGATTCAAATCTGTATGTCACAGAGAAGCACAGAGGGCTAATGCAGAGAAGCAGGATATTTGACCAGAGTCATTTTGTTTCTTTAAGTGGCGACGGCAACAGCACCAAGCCTGTGTGCTATAAAACATATAGTGTGTTACATAAAACACCCGTATGACATTTACTGTTATTTGCATGTAATTCTGTAGGATGTACACGTGGCGGTGGTGCAAGTAGATATTGCATTTCTTATACCATGGTTAGATCTGAAGAGATTAGTGTCTGAGTGTGCCATCTGTGAAGGGTGTCGGAGGTAATGTTTATCTGCTGCTTATATGTGGTTCCAGTCTGGATATATATCTGCTCTCTGTGAGATCCGTTGGGAAGCAAAGTGTTTGAAGGCGATTGTGCACAGATCATGTTACCCAGGTGTACATCAATTTGTGGGTATCCATGTCAGTGAGTGGTGCTGCCTTTGGTGCCTGTCTGTGTGGAGTTTGCATGTTCTCCTCGGGTTTGTGTGGGTGTGTGCTGTGTGGTCCAGTTCCCTCCCTCAGTTAAGGTTTGACTGGCAATGCTACAAACCATGCCTGGGATTTCCCCTAAGGTAAGTGCAGCTAGCCTCTCCACTACCTTAGGGCCAGATCTGGTTCAGTAGAACACGCAGGCCAGGAGGATAATGCAGGGGGTGAAAAACAGTAAAGAGGACAGTGTGAGCCGCCCTTTTGTCTGTACTCAGGTTTCATATAAATGTTTGCTAGGGTTCGTTATTTCCAGCTACTCCTCAAACAGAACTTTGAGTGGCCTCAACTTGCTAGTTAAGAATTTGTTCCCTTATTATGAGCTATTTTGTGGGAAATAGATTTTCAACACATGATAAACAGACACAGGTTGAAATGACACTCATCTGTATGAGGAAAATATTGTGTGGAGCACCTTTCATCTGGTCTTTGTGTTCGAATCCTTTTCCTCGATGGGCTCAAAGCTGCGCAGGCACTCGAGAGCTGCAGCAGTGACTCTTCTCCGGACAGACTTATTTTTCCTTTACAAAACGCTCCCCGTCTTTCGGTGGGCCTTTTGTGGTTTTAGCAGGGAGCCCCCATCCTGCGGTGAGCGGGACTGGAGACGGGCGCCCCAGCTCCTCGTCCGAGCGCAGCCCAGCTCAGGAGAGGACGGCCCGGCTGGAGCAAGGCCTCGCCGAACCCCAGCCCAGGGCTGGTCATCTTCACTGCGGAGGCAGAGGCGGGGAAAAACAGTGCATCTTCCTGCTTCTGTCTGGGGGACCTCTGTGGAGCTAATGACATGCCATATCATAGTTAGGGGGAATTGTGTTCATATAAAAATGCACTAGTGGACGTTTGCTGAGGGAATTGTTGTGCAGACTTTGTCCTTGAAGGCTGTTGTCAGTGCTCTGGTTCAGCTGTCTGCGTTGTCATCTGAAAGTGGTTTGCAGGAAGGAGACGTGGCAAGGAATGAACTCGGTTATTCCATGTGGACCCCAATAGGTGCTGGTGTTGTTTTGGTCAATTACAGAAGGCTGGGCAGTCTTGCATAAATCCAGACAAAAGAGGGGGAAAAGAACTGTTTGGGACGCACAGACATTTTGCTATGAAGCCCAGGCATATAGAAACAATTTTGGAGGTACTAGCCAATAAAAAGGGAGGAATGTGACTTGGGGAGATTCCGGAGTTTTAAAAGGCCAAAAAAAAAGCCTAGAAAAGCACCAGGAAGAATCACCACGTCAGTCGCTGAGGATTTTGGTTGTTGTGGCAGCCTCATGCTCTGCCTGTTCAAAAGACCACACTGCACAAAGTAGGCATTTGATGGGGAAAACAAGTATTTTCTTAAATTAGTTTTCCTTAGAAATATAAAAAGCGAAATCACTGCTCTCTACAAGCAAGAGGCTTCTAAAGAAGGCCAAGAGCCCTCTGGAGTGTGTGGCACACCCCCCTCCACTGTAAATGTACATTACTCCCATCTGGGAGACGCCCCTGTGTCCCCAGGAGTAATGGAAATAGACTCAGAAAATCTTTCACCTCCTCTGCAACTCATTCTCAATGTAAAATTAACCCCCTTATCTCCTGTAAGATGTTCTAAACTTTGTTGGTGATAGTTTGGGTGGGTAGCTGCGTCAGCATGCGTAGGCTGCAAAGGAACAAGTAATAGGTTTATACCATGCTGAAAAAAACCTGAAGACGTCATTCTCACACCTGAAGAAGGCTCCACGGCCGAAATGTTGTGTTCTTTTTCTTCTTTTTTTCAGCATGGAATAAACCTATTACTTGTTCCTTTGTTGGTGATGTTTGTCTGTTTTTGTGGTATTGTTTTGTTGATCCCTGCTGTAAAATACATTTCCCACGGAGGATCAGAAAGCTTGAACTGAATTGAAAAACGTTGACAATTCTTTTTCCATACTATTGTTTTCTAGCACCGGGGCACGTCCTGGTGTTCCTCTGTTGTGCGATTTCTGAAATGCGGGGAGACGTACCTGCTCTGTGTCCTCACGCGGCTCCTCCATCCCTCCTGTCCCGCAGGCTGAGTCTCCTCCCCCCTCCCTGCTCCCCGCCCCCTCTGGCCTTGCCCTGCCATGGCCCGCCGCTCCCAGAGCTCCTCCCTGGGGGACAACCCCATGGACCCCAGCTACCTGCCACCCCACTACCGCGAGGAGTACCGGCTGGCCATCGACGCGCTGGTGGAGGATGACGTGGAGGGCTACTACGAGTTCCTGCACGGCCAGGATGTGGTGGACTTCCTGGCGCAGCCGGAGATCGAGCACATCAAGCGGACGGTGCTGGCGCCGCGCATGGCGACCCAGCCGGAGTTCTCCTACACGGAGAGCGGGTTTGCAGATCCGGACGGCTCCTCCGATACCTACTGGCCCGTCCACTCGGACCTGGAGGCCCCGGGGCTGGACCTGGGCTGGCCGCACCTGCACAGCTTCATCGGCTCCACGGAGGTCACGACGCTGGTCAACCCCTCCGACCCCAGCATGCCCAGCATCAAGGAGCAGGCACGCCGCCTCATCAAGGAGGCGACGCAGGTGAGCAGACGGGGAGTGAGGACGTCCGTGTGAGCAGCCGAGCACAGGTCACAGGTGAAGGGTAATCACACGAATGTCACAGGTCACAGGTCACAGGTCACAGGTCACAGGTCAGTCACAGGACAAGGGTAATCACGTCTGTCACAGGTCACAGGTCAAGGGTAATCACACGTCTACCAAAGGTCACATGCCACAGGTAATCACAGTCTGCCAAAGGTCATCTCACAGGTTGGGCACAGGTCACAGGTAATCACAGTCTGTCACACATCAGTCACAAGTCTCATGTGGTCACAGTCTGTAACAGGTCATAGGTGGACACAGGTGGCCACAATCTGTCAAAGCTCCCAGTCTCTCTCGGGTCAGTCGTCACAAGTGGTCGTAGGTCAGTCTCGGGTCACAGGTGGTCATAGTCTTTCAAAGGTCACAGTCTGTCATAGGTCGGACACAGATCAAAGGATGCTGTCTTACATTGAGTAATTGCAGTGCATATCTTGAGTGCATCTTCAGCCTGATCTTCTGTAATCACTCTGAGAAAAAGAGAGCTAAAGTGAAGTGCTTTCATGACATCCTGAATGGTAATGATGGATTTGAATATTTTCCTATGAAGTGATATACCCTGGAGGTTTTATTATATAGGTTTAAATTATATTATTTAACTTCTACAATTACATTTGACATTACATTTAGGGGCATTACAATTAGACTCCAGTCATAATCATGCCTGTGGTTCCTTTTGTTCCATTCGTTACTGATGGGGATTCCAATTGCAACACATCAGTACAGTAAAAGTGACCTTTCTCACGATAGCCATAACCCAGCTCTCATTCCCTATTGGGGGGAGAATAATGCAGTACTTAGAGGCACGATGTGACATTTGTGAAGCTTGCAGTTATAAGGGATGTTCTTTCATAGGGCTCAGAGTAACAGATGGTTAGTCATTAAACATTAAACTTTGAACAAAATCATTTTTCTGTGCCGTTATTTCTAAAGTTCTCCTTTACAATAGTTAATACCAACAGGTATCCTTCAATTAGATGAGTTTGAATGTGTAATTTTCTGTGTACAATCCATAATGAATGACACCCATTTTAAATACTACTGGTGCTTCATAAATCTACCATGTATGAAGAAACATAAGATTTTTTATATTTTCAAAAAATATTTTTATGACCTTGCCATGGGTTTTATAACGATGTGGGTCTGGTCTTGTACCTCAGTGGGAAGCTCTGTGTTGTTTGTACTCAAGGCCCGACACAGAGCCTGGGGCCGGGTTGGAAGAAGGCCTGACTTCAGTTGAGTCAGTGAAAGGCTTTGCGTCAACGCTAGTGCCCCTGCTGCTGGAGCTGTGGGTAGAGGCCTCAACGAGTGAGCAGGGCAGCTCTAAGAACACAATTTTTTTTAAACATTTTAAACCGTACTATAAGCTAGTGCTCTTTGCCAGTACATTTAGCTCCTTGGGATACAAAACTCTTATCAGTATCGTCATTATTATTACAGAATTGTCAAAAAAGTCAATATGCTGTATAGTATTTTGAGAATAAAACTGTACTAATGCAGAGTATTTGTATGGCACTTTCTCACAACGCCAGCACCCATGATTAAAAGGCTGACTGAACACACAGAGGAGATTGTTCCAGACAAGGTGTATGTGAGGAAAGAGAAGCACATAAGGCAATGCAGAACAGTACTGAGGACACAAGCAGTGCTTGATGTGAAATTGGATTTATGGAATCAGGGAGCATCTGTACATACTGTGAGAGTGTGGTTCCAAGTGGGTACGGTCAGAGTACTTGAGTGAAAGGCTGCTGTGCTGTCTTGTCGCAGGTCATCGCTGTGGTGATGGACATGTTCACCGATGTAGACATCTTCGCCGATCTCCTGGATGCAGCTATGCGCAGGGTACCGGTGTACATCCTGCTGGATGAGCTCAACTCCCACCACTTCATATCCATGGTGACCAACTGCAAGGTCAACCTGGACATGATCCACGTGAGTCCCTTCTGAAACCCCCGGGGGAGGGGAAACTAGTCGCAGGCCTGGTACTACGTGGACACTGCGGGTGAACGATTTTCGTTTTCTAAACCGAAATGGGGCAGGGAAATTAAAAACAACTATTTTTTTGTTGATGCAAGATGTTGATTTGAGAACGGACCAGATCTGCCACCCTGATGGCATTTTTCTGTTGGCACAGGTCAGGTTTTGAAACGTCGAGGTTGGTCTCTCCATTGTCTCGGTTCACGCACCTCTGTAGAAACAGCTCCGAGTGCACGCTCAGTGATATTTACCGTCTCGCGAGTTGTAGAGCGTCTGGTGTGAAGGGGGAGTGGTGCCCAGGCTGACGGGCCTGTGTCTGTGTCTGTGTTGTAGTCCATGCGGGTGCGGACAGTGGCAGGCACCACTTATTTCTGCCGCACTGGCAAGTCCTTCAAGGGCCAGGTGATGAACCGCTTCCTGCTGGCGGACTGCAGGGCTGTGCTCAGTGGGAACTACAGGTGAGGACGGCTGCTTTTACTTACCAGTGTGTGTGTTTGTTAAAATCCGGTCAGGGTTCCGAAACCCTCACCTCCAGAGGGGAGGCGCTGTTAAACCCGACAGCACTTGGTGTCACACGCAGCCTGTTGACTGGCCAGAAAGGGTCTCAAACTGTCAGGACTGTCGAGAAGAACCTGTCAATCTGGGTTCCTGGCTTGGTGGGATTTCAGCTACCTGTAGATTTAGTTGTATGGCAATGCAAACTGTATTTTTTTATCAAAGCAAGTATCCCAACAATACAGCACTAATTTATTCTAAAAATTAAGACCATAAAGGGCCGAATGGGGTGGTATAAAGGAAAAAGAGAAATGGAATTCTAACATCCTCCATTAATTTTGAAAATCACTGGTTAAAAAAACAGTACTTGCTAGATTAAACAGTGAGGTTGCGGGTGCCATTAGCAACATAATTGATACACATAGCTGTAAAACAGAACTAGCCTGCAAGACAATAGATATATAGCTGTTTCTTATGAGTTTTTTTAATTTTGTGTGCTGAATTCATAATGACATCTAGTGGTTAATGAAAGAAATGGGTCTTTTTAAACCACATGATCAAACCTTATTTACTCCAAGTATTTCCAGTCTTCCAAAGACATCCCTGCTAGATAGAGATGCCAATAACCAACTAAATTGTCAGTGTGAGAGTGCACATGCCCTGCTGTGGTCTGGTGTGTGGTCTAGGGTACAGAAGACCCAGTAGCAGGTGCTCAGGTCCTTACTAAAAATAAGCTGCTTCTCTGCTCATGGAAAACTGCAACAGGAGAAAAATATTACATTGAATCTGTATTTTACACACATTCACAAATAAGTATACAGATCTTCACAATCTTTTTCCACATCATTACTGCATATACATGGCTTCGCAAAAGTATCCACACCTTTTAAACGTTTTCAAATGTCGCTCGATTACGAATGATCCTTCAACACCTTTTTCCAATCTGTATTTTTATTGCAAACTCACATGCTCAAATAGAAAATGTTAAAGACAAAACCAGTTAATTGTCAGCAGATACCTTAAAGACAGTCAAAAACTGAAATACGCTTCTCTCTTGCTCTCTGCAGCTTCATGTGGTCGTTTGAGAAAATTCACCGCTGCATTGCCCACCTCTTCCTGGGGGAGCTAGTAACCACATTTGATGAGGAGTTCCGAATCCTGTATGCCCAGTCCCAACCACTGGTACTGGAAAAGGCTCTGGTGCCTATTTCAGGGGACAGTGGTTACTCCACCTCCCAGTATGGCAATAACAGGGTGCCATCATTCCGAAATCCAAGAGGCTTTCTGCACGTGGAGAGCTCCCGGCACTCTGAGCGTTCTGGATATTCCGATCGGATGGACCTGGACCGGGACATGGTGCCGTTCAGGCGGGAAGACTCTTTCCGCCACCCCCAGGAGCTTGGCCCCATGCAAAACTACAGCAAGAAGTATTCCCAGGCATTAGAGATGGAGAGGTCGTACATGGACCAGGGCAGGTCTTTGATGACCTCCATGAAGATGGAGATGAATGCTTATAAGAGGCACAGCTACGCAGAGGGCACCCATGAGAACTATTCGTCTGCCCGGCAGTTCATGAAGCACCGTGTTATGAACAACCTGGAGGAGATGGAGACTCAGAGCGGCCAGTTCCAGAGGGAGCAGGCCTACCATTGGGGGGGAGGTCCAGGTTCGGGACACGGCATCTATGAGAAAATTCGAAGCAGAGGGTACCAGCACATGGAAGAGTATTCTGATGACCCTCGATACCCCCACGAAATGAGTGAGCATGAACCGCCGGGCATGGGCAGCTACAATCCCATGTTGGATTACATGTCTTCTAACTCCTCTAAGGAGGTTAAGCATGGTTCTGGCAACATGTTGGCTCCTGGGGAGGGTCCTTATGGTCAACTGACAAGAAGACAGAATACAGGTCAGCCGTACGTCTGTCAGAGCTCCCCCACACAACTGCACCCCCCTGACCAGAAACACATGTTCCATGAATCTAGCCTAGACCGGCAGCCACAGGACCCGACTGTCAAGCAGGGCTTGCGGAAATGGAGGGTCAACTCCTATCTCAGCGGCATTGAGGACCCCCCAGAGCAGGGTCTGCAGCAGCCCATTGGGTCTGATGCCTTTGATGAGCCCCCACAAACATCAGAAGGGCCACTGCATGGTCCAGAATCCTCATTACCAAGGTTCACTACAAGAGAGTTCCCTAAGATACCCAGTTTCAAGACTGAGCTCCCACGATATGGCAAGCCGCTCCTGCCCGAAGCTTCACACGGTCCCCAGTCCGGAGAATCAACCTCCACGACAGCGGTCTCGAAAAATACTACAATATCACCAGCCACAGCAGCCGAAGAGACAGAGAGCAGAGAACCCAGAGAAATCAGTATTACTAAGCATGAGTCCTTCCGCAGTAGAATGAACCCCTTGATTCAGAGGAGCTCCAGATTGCGCTCTTCACTCATCTTTAGTTCCTCTAAGTTAGAGCAGCACAGCTCCTTAATGCTAAAAAGTGGACTTAGCCAGAAGGACAACCAGACAGAAGAGGAGGAGACTGATGCCCTAAAGACATCTTCTATTGTTGCTCAGATCCTAGAGAAAAGGCGATCTCTCACAAGGGAACCTTTTGAATTTAACTTGACTGGCAAAGACAGAGACAGACAAAAGACAGAAACAAAAGATCCTCCTCTAGCTGAAGCAGCTAAAGCAGAAGAGCCACCAAAGGTTGCTGCAGTTGAAGAAATGCCAAAGGTTCCTGTACCAGAGAATCCACCAAAGATCACCCTGCCAGTGGAACTTAAACCATCACTCAGCCCAATCCCCCCAACTGACATGAATGATCCAGACAGTAGGCTCAGGTATTTTAAAGAACTAGCTGCCAAACGAAAGGTTTCCAAAATGGCTGCAGATCTTGCCTCTAGGGGTCCAGAACCCGTGACCAAAAAGCCAGACCTCTCTTTGAAATCAGCAGAAACTGTCATCAAAATTCCAGAGATCTCCATAGACCCGCCAGAACCCCAGGCCAAATTACCGGAGCCCCAGCCTCCAGCACCGCAAGAAGTCAAACCGGTGGCTGAGGTTTTGAATAAAGAACCTCAGTCTAAATCGCCCAAACCCTTTCCTTCACCCAAATTCTTCAGAAAAGATCCTTCAAAATCTTCCAAGACACCTGTTCCTCGCATTTTGTCATGTTCTGAGGATATTCTAACAGATGCTACCGACACTCAGAAGAGTGAGCTAAAGAAGGCACGTAGTCTGAGTATCTCGGGCCTGAACACAGGGGAGTCAGTGGAAAAGCTAAACAAGATCCATGGGTCCAATTCTTCCCTGAATATCCTGGATGGAGGTGAAGGGAAGCAGGACACCAAAGCGTTGGATTTCATCAAGAAGCAAACTCAAAAGCTCAAGGGACTTCTTGGACAAAAGAGCGATAAGAAGGGGATGTCCGCCACTTCAGAGGAGAAGGCGGCAGGCCAGACTATGAGGACAGTCCCAGAAGTGTCTGAGGAGCCAGCGGTCAAGACTTCCACAGAATTGGACAGCACAGGTGCGTCCACCCTGGGCGAGAGTGTAAAAGCTACAGAGAGCAAAGAGGAAAAAGCCCCCCATAAGTCTCCACCATCTGCTCCACCTAAAACCAGCCAGACACGTTTCCAAACGTCCACTTCCAATGTGCTCTACAGCAGCAACCTCAGGGATGACACCAAAGTCATCCTGGAGCAGATCTCGGCCAACAGCCAGAAGAACCGGCTGGAGAAGCAGGCCGCTAGCAGCACGGATGATTCCAAGGAGGAGCAAAGCGGCCAGGCTGCCGCTGACAGCGCGGAGTCCTCCAGTCCCGTTGGAGTGTACCAGATAAGGAACCGGTTCCAGCGGCCCCAGGCCAACCCCGAGGAGAGGGACAACCTGCTCAAGAAGATGGAGAGCATGCGGAAGGAGAAGAAGGTCTACAGCCGCTTTGAGGTGTTCTACAAAAACAAGGAGGAGGGGACCAAGACTGCAGACTCAGAGGAGGACGGGAGCACAGGCAAAGCGAAACCGAAATTGGGGCTTTTCAAAAGCAAAAAATAGGGCTGGGGCCGAAAATCCCACAAGAACAGGAGCTCTTGTGGTATACCGATGAAAGGCAGAAGCATTAAAGGGAGGAAAAATTATGCTAGTGAAAAGAGTAATTTATGAAGTTACTTTTACATTGTTTACATTGAATTTTGTAAAAAGCAAAGAATTCAGTCAGTATGATGACATTGTCAGACCTCCCTGCTAAAGAGACTGCCATTAGGATTTGCTTTCAGGGTGACATCCATGTATTTTGCTACATGATGATGACGGGCTGTCTGCTTTGCTCTCTTTGCACTGTGACCTTAGATCTCTGAGGGAAAACTGCAGGGTGGACTCTAGAGTCTAAATTGAGACTGGCCCACTCGGATTTTCGCCTTCTATTTGTTTCAATGTTATTAACTGGATCCCTGAGTAACAAGAATGGCAGAAAAGGTGCTTCTAACTGGCGTCTTGGACTTGAAGCGGCCGACTGAAAACTGCAGCAGTCTCTGTACAAGCACTGAACAAGCGATGTTTTCTCTTTTTTATATAATTCCCTATTTTAAACAAAGTAGTTGTGACACAGTCATTCTATTCTACATCGTTGCATCAAGTGGATGGGAAAAAGGGAGCAAGCTTTTTACCCTTTTATGGGTGGGAAAAATATGGATTTGGGTTCGGCAGCACAAGAAAATCAAGGCCAAACTGGAATTCATCCAGCATGTCTGTCTAAGTACTTTATTAGAATGTTTGTCAGTGGAATGTGAATGCGATTTTATTCCAGAAAGATATTTATACCACTGAACTTCTTCTCGTTTCCAAAGGGATCATCAGCACGATTTATTCTTGCAATGATTTGTTTTTAATTCTAACTTTGTTTTCCAAATTGTCTTTTTATTCTTGCTCTTCATTCTGCACGTGGAGTGATATTTGTTCCACTTTTAGAAAATGTGATCAAGAAAAAAAATCCTTTAGGATAGGTGACAAAGGGCACACACCTTTGCGAACTGGAGAAAAGTAGCATTTTCTTTACGTGGGCTCTGTTTCAGGCATTTCAGGTGTCTGTTAATATTGTAGTCTTGAATTCAACTTTTGCTAATGTGCAAGGAGCAAGCCCTTAACACAGCAAGCAGAGCCAGGGGTCTCAAGCAGATTTCAGATGGCTTCTGCAGAGGTTCACAAATGCAAGCTGCTTTGTCTCTGCTGATTGGAGGTTTATTGTCCTGCAGGACTGCACGTTTAACACCACCTTGTCTTCCCTGACTATATTCAGCCTTGTTCATCTCAAGAGGCAGATTAGCTACACATAAAATAAATAAAATAACTTCCCTTGTATGTGTAATGAAATATAGCATCCTTTGTAAACTTCTTCCAGCATCATCAGTAAAGAACTATCTTTTCCAGTTGCTTTCAAACTTGGGATTAAAGCTACAATATGGTGAACAGAAAATTCATTAAAACGATTTTGGAGAGTTTGCAGAATAAAGAAAAATGGAGGAGCCACAGTTGCTCCGGTCTGCCTCCAGCATTTCAGATGCATATTTAGTAGTAAGCAGTGGCCAAATATCAGATCCTTGCAGAATATTGTTTTGTTTTGCCCGTTTTATTTTGTTAGGTACTTTAACGCAATTAATTAAGTCTCATCCAAAATGTTTGCTGTATATCTTTTACTGTTTATAACCAAGGAGCTCCGTTCAGGTGATTTATGGGGATTCTGGAAACATTTTCCGTTTTAAACCAAAGACCTTAATATCGATTTGTTACATGGTATTTGTTCTTCTTGCACTCTACCTATTTGTACAGATGCCAAAAGATAAGAATATTATTGATCAATTATTATTGAAATACAGCAAAACCTGAAGTGATACAGCTCCCTTTTCTAAAGTTAGCCACATTTTAGGAACTTATTCTAGATTGTTAGACACAAAAGATTTTCCTAAATTGCACAGTTTCATCAACTATTTGAAAAAAACTTAGAGAAGTAGTCTAGGACTAACTATTTTAAGATAAGCTTATTACTGTATGTCATCTGGGACTAACTACAAATTATATACTGTATACTTTGTTTTATCTTTAATGTGCCTTACTATACCACTTTGTGTCTTTTTATTTTGTGTATATAATGTAAAAAACTCTTGTGCCTTATTGTGAGTTACTCCTTTCTATGGCTCTCATGTTTTACTATGCCTGGTACAAACTAATTGCCAGAAAGTAATACCAGCGTCCCTCAGACGCTGTAAAGCCCAGCAGAGGAAGATCAATGTGTTACTATTTTATAAACCATGGTTTTAACAGGTTGTTTGTTTGCATATAAACATTTACTCTGTATATGGGTTATCATATATAATAAGAATTACATATAAAATACCTCCTTATATGTCCTTTAATGGCTTTGTTTTACGTTACAGAATGTTATACTGTAATTATTGTATGCAAACTGTAAAAATGGGATGAAACACCACCATCGTTCTTTAACAGTCTATTGCATGTGTGTTATAATATAGTGCTGTAATATAGGCACTACCATTCCTTTTTAAACCCAGTTGTTTGGCTAAATTTTAGGACCAGTGTTTAAGTACCTGATCAGTAATCACTGCATCTGCTTGTAGTAACTTTGAAAAAAGTTGTTATAGAACCAAAAAGTAAAGCAAATATAGTGATTTAAAAAGTTATTGTGATGTAACAGGGATATACATACCCGTACTGAGGAGTCATAATGCTGCACATTAGATTATCAGTTAGCAACTAAATGTTTACTCAAATGTTATAATGTAAACTCAAGATACCATAGGATATAAATAAAGGATCATGTAGCCTTTAAGGTTCAATGGTGTTCTCCACTGCCCTAAAGCTCGGAAAATGTTTCCTTTAGGAGATTTGATTCCAGTGGAAATAGACTATTTGAGGTTGTTAGCTCAAGCCATAATACTGTATTTGTGCCATATTTAGTTACTGTTCATTTTAATTAATAAACCGGGAAGGAAATGATCTGCACAACACCATTTTTAATTCCCATTGGAGTTCAGTGGTGTTGAGGGCACGACACATCTTTGGTACCATATTAAGGAATAACGAATGGTGTTTCAATAACTGTGAACTTGAACTGTTTCTATGAAAGCAAAGATTTTATTTGGACTTATTTTCATTTTATTTATTTTAGATCTGTCCAACTAAGCAATAAAACCATAAACACTGTTATATTCCTCAGACATTAATACCACCTTACCATTTTAAGTGGCATCATAAATTGCAGGGAATTGGTCACTTCCTTTCAAGAACCTTGACACAATTTCAACCTGAACCCAGTTTGCTAAGGCTTTGTGTTAAGAATACTGAGAAAAGACCAGCATCAGAACCTTTAAGCTTGATTCTTGCTTCACCAAGTTAAAACGGCTGAACTGTACACTTATACCGCATTTCCTGGTTGATTTTTAATGTATGATGTTCTCTTACCGCAATGACTCTGTAAATGCCATGGTTTAAATGTAAGTGGGAGAGTTGTATCTAAAAGCACTGTTCTAAAAACGATGAACTGCAATAACTTTGCAGTGGTTTTTGTTTGAATAAAATTGTAAATACTGTAGAAGTAAAAATAAATGTGTGATATTAAGACTATGGGTGTAGGGATTTAGCCAACTCTGGGCAAAATTGAAGCCAGAGCTGCCAAGGTGAACACAAGTGTCATGTTTAGAATAAAACATTCCTATTAAAAACAAACCTCTACCTTGTGACTTTATTTGAAGTACTGCTAAGTGTTAGACTAAAGTAGGGTCTGTACAGTTGTAGTTTGGTGGAGAGAATTATGGTAAATAGCTAAATTCACTTATAACCATGTCCATCCCAATATTATAGCATTATGTACAGTACTACAGTGTATAACATAACTGATTAAAAGACATAAGTAACCCTTACATGATAGGTTCTAATACATTAGCTTTAAGTTCATTTAAATAACATTGATGAACTAAAAGAAACAACAGTAATCACAAAACAATATAATCGGTTAAATAACATTCATTCTGCCTTTGTGATTAGCATGCACCACTGTAATGAAGCGGTAATAAACTATAGGATCTCTGACAGTCTGCTTCAGCCTGTCATTCCCCACACAGCCAACACCAGAACCAGGAGTTTTCATTCAATATAAAAACAAGACCGTGGTGAAATGCAGGTGCTGTGTAAAGGGAACTTGGGCAGGTGACAGGAAAAGATTCTATTACTAGTTGGATAAGTCTCTTGATCCTTGTCAGTGGCACGGTTAATTTGAAAGTTGCAGTTAAAAGACTCGGGTTTAATTTGAACCTCCTCTGCTCTTCTTTTCATCCATAACCATATTAACCAGATCGAAACACAGATTTGGGAATGTTAAATGCGCAGTTGTCAAGACTCTGCTGTTACATATAATGTATTTGTTTTAAAAAAGTGTTAAAGTTTAAATCTGAGGTAAACTCAGTCAATTTAAGATGGGTCACTATTTGTCTGGAAAGGATTTATTTTATTATTTGATGCCAGTCCACCTGATAGAGGAGATCTGATTTAATATGATAAAACCTCCAAACGATATATATTTTACAAATTTCCAGCAGCACAGCTAGAGTTCCCCAGCAGAATTAAATACAAACAGGTTTCTACAACATGTACAGTAGCACAGTTCATCTCCTAGCCATATACTTCGGCTGTACTCGCTCATGTCCAGAGAACAGTTTATATGTTCAACAAAAGAAGACTTTTGATTATCAATGCATCTTCACTCCCCTAGGATTGGATTTTTATTTCACAATGCAGAGATACTGAATATAGCCAATAAAATATATCTTAAGTTCTAAATAAGCAGAGCTGAAAAGAATTTATTACTCCAACTTTATTTAATATGGCAAAGAACACAAAAGGTATAATTAACATTATAGTGAGGGGAAAGGCAGTGAATAGGTGATGAACTCTTAAACAGAAAAAAACATTTTAAGTTTATGTAACAACACTAATACTAGCAATATAAGTACCTAAATAAAGTACCTGGATTAGTTCAGCTATGTTCTGTTCAAACAAGAAAAAAATACATTTGTGTTGCTGCGTCTCATCTACATAAAATTAGTTTTCCTTATTTTCGCTGGTTTTCTCTGTAAGACCCCTTGCTCTGGTGATCTCCTCTTCGAGGATTTTCAGCTGCAGTAACTTGATCTGTTCTAGAGCATGAAAAATAACCAAGAGGATATTTTGCACATTTTTGAGCATAGAGATCTTAACCGTTACATCTATTTTCTGCAAGATAGGACACACTTTACTTATCTTAACGAGTAAAAATGCAACTGCAGAATCACATTTTGCCACTGACTGCAGATACGCTTAGCCGGTTTGAAATCCCTGTTTAGGGCATCCACTTAAGTTTTACTTAACATGTTTATAGTGCATGTTCAAATGTACTGTACAGAGGATCAGAGCACACTCACCAGAATGCAACAAAGTCAAGTTGTAAGGGATAAACCATGGACTGCTGAATCAGTGTTAATCCACAGTGATCCATCTCTAAGTATGTTTTTTTTTGTACTAAGAGCTCTGGAACTATTCAAAACATTACAAATACATTTAAACCCTATCTTTGGAAGTGTATGTTAATTTCAGCCTCGTGTTGAAGCCTATACACTGCTGACCTGAATAATTAACAATCTGAATATTTGCTGTCCGTCTGTGCCATTACCATGAACCAAATGTGCCACATTGAAAACAGAACAAAAACAAAACTTACCAGCTTTTAATAACTGGGCATTGGCATTTTCGGCATTCTCTATCTCCACTGGAAGTCTTTCTGGAGACTATAAAAATGTTAAATGTTAATGTTAAAAACATAAAAGTTTCCCAAGTCAAAGGTACAGGTGAAGGATCATGTGAGTGAATGGGGCGATTCCTTGTAAGAAACCCCAGTCCTAACAGTAAATACTCCCCGGAAAGTTTTGACAACTTGTTTGGTGTGCTTTCATGACAGTTTAAAAAACTATGAGGAATGCTGCCAAGTTCTAAATAAAAAAGCAACAGGAATGGGAACAGTCACACTTTTAAAGTGAAATAAAGCTAAAAGTATTAGAGCTTACATAAATGGAATACATATTCTTGTGATCTTCCAACAGCTGCTGAAGCTGATTTTCAAACTTCATCCTGTTAAAAAAATAGTATGTACACATGAATTTTTCATTAATTGTAACACTCACTCAGTTTATCTAGGCTGTGATAATTAAAAGTCTGTCTATATGACTCTTATATATAATGATATAATTGGTGATTTTTGTCAGTGAACATCTAATATTATATTGAACATTATTTAAAGTTTCTGTGCACGTTGATGACATAGAATGCAGTTTGTATGATAAGCATGTCTCCATGTCTATTTAAATCAATTATACATTTATACCATTATAATACAGTTCCTTGTATTCTTAACTACATCTTGTTCTTCAAAACTGTGGTATATTCTTTAAAAAATCTTTTAAAAAAGGACAAATGGTAAATGATAAAATATAATGTTTTTGCAAGTTGATTAAGTCTTAACTATTTTCCTCAGTTACAATTTGCAGGCTTTCCATTTTAGACTTAAGAACAGTAAGGTTCCCATTTATAGAAGTCCACTGAAACTGATGCAAGTCCTTACCTAAAGAGTAGTGGGAGTCTGTAACAAGATACGTTGGCTTTTGTACCCTGGCTTATTTTGAGAAATCCTTTTAAAATTCTAGGATTACCTGCCAAACTGCCTCACCTTAACAACTGTGCTTAATGTTCTAAGCATTTAAAACGTATACTGTATATCTAAACAAAATGAAGAAGATGAATCTGCACCTTTGTTTCCTGTGTTTTAACTTGGCCTCCTGAATTTTGAAGGTGTACTCTTCTAGCAGCTGCTCATGTTCACTGTTTAATTGATGTCCCCTAAATAATAAACAAAAATGTAAACACAAAACCTGTGTCACATGTTAGCCATTTTCAAATCCATCTACATGTTTGTTTACCTACATACTTAGATTATGAGGGCAGCATAAAGGGTGCTGTAGATTTCTCAGGACATTCAGAAAAACAAGTCAGAAAAATGATGGCATTTTAAACTCTTTCACAACAATCCTGACTGGCTCAGACTTTATTTCAGGAGTAAACGCCATTGTTCATTCTTACCTGTTTGTGTCCTCTTTGAGCTCACACTGGTACTGCAGAGTCTTACAGGCATCTGCAGAGGAGGAAACAAAAACGTTCATTTTATGTAGGATTTATCAGGGCTGTACATGTAAGTCTAGGCTTGGTCTGTAATACGCAGTAAACAATATGAGAGTCTTGGTTTTAAATCGATAGCTTTGGCAACTCTCCGTCTGCTGTCAGTTTAATATTGCAAGTCTGTTTAAAAGCATTACCTTCTTTTTCTCTGTAAGCCTTCTCCAGCTGAGAACGCTCTGTGTGCACTAGAGGAAAGGAGAATATAATGAAAGCCGAGTTGCATGTGGTATTACTTGGGGGGGGGGATATTAAAACTGCAACAGCGGAATTTTAGCAGAAGTTAAAGTACCATTAGGTAAGCATGCATGTGTGCATTTTATACACAATGAATGAACATTCAATTGACCACAGTTTCTGACTGTAAACACTAAACTTCCAATATTCAACAGTCTATATTCTTCATGAGGGGTGGCACAGTTAGAATTGCTGCCTTGTAACATGGGGCCCGGGGTTTGATTCCAGCAATGAGGTGCTATCTGTGTGGAGTTTGTATGTTCTCTCCGTGTTCGCGTTTCCTCTGGTGTTCTCTGGTTTCCTCCCAGTGTCCAAAGACATACTGGTTGGTTAACTGGCTTCTGGGAAAACTGGCCCAGGTGTGAGTGTGCGCGCGTCTATGTTGGTGTCTGTTCTGCAGTGGACTGGCGTCCCGTCCAGGGTGTACCCCGCCTTGCGCCTTGTTGTCCGCCTGAAATTCCAGCTCCCACGTGACCCTGAATGGGACCAAGAGGTTAGAAAATGGATATCCTTCAAGAGGAAATTCGCATTTTAATATTTACATGGTGTTATTCTGTCAGAATGTCATAACTTTGATTATAAATTCTAAATAGTTCAGGTGGGTAGCTGCCTCAGCATGCGTAGGCTGCAAAGGAACAAGTAGAGGTTTATTCCCTGCTGAAAAGAGAAGAAAGGAAACAACATTTTGGCCTTGGAGCTTTGTGACACCCAAGAAGTTTCCTTTCTTCTCTTTTCAGCATGGAATAAACTTTTACTTGTTCCAAATTCTGAATGACCATTTCCTACATTAATATCCATTTGCAAAGAAACGTTGTTAGAGAACAATTCACACTTACGGGCATCTAATTCTTCCTTCAGGGTCTTTTTCAGGGACTCGCCCTCTTTCAACTCTTCTTCTAAAGCTGTTTTCCCTGGGTGGGGGGAGACACATGTAAGACTTGGGTTGTAGCCCACCAAAGGGACGCGAAACTGTTAAGACACAAGTTTTGAGTTTTTTGGTCTAAAATCCCTAACATACAATTGTCATAGCAGCAATATACGACATGAAATGCACTAGGGTTTTTTTTTTTTAACTGAACGTCTAAAATGAACTTTTAGTTCACCTTTTTGCAGTTTCCTTAATTTATTCATTAGGTCTTCCATCTTGAGTTCCGCCTTATCGCCTAAAACAGAATAAAAACACTTATGTAATCTCTTTTGAAGTGATGGCAGCAGTTTCTCCCAAGAAAAGCATTACTATTGAATCCGTTTGCATCTGTTAAAAGCAGGTACTGTGTAGAAATGAGCCTCTCGAATAAGTTCAATACTAAGACTGCGCTTTCGTAATTTATCTGAAAATCTGAATATTTGACTGTTGGCCACGTAAGATGTACACACCAATAATTTTTATTTACGCTAAAAACGGCTTTTTATGCAAGCAAAAAAAAAAAACAACCAACGATTTGAGTAACATACGGCGCCTTGTTCTTTTACAATTTCATACCGTCTTTCAGCTCTTCCGTATTTTGTAGGATATCTTCCATATCTAAACTTCAACCTGGAAGACGAAACGGACAGACATACGGTAATAATTCAGCCAATTTCTGTCCACCTACATTTTGAGATGAGGAATATAATTTAATCTATAAGTCTCCCTCGACAGCCTTCACCATTTATTAATGATAAATAACATCTAAGAAGCAGAAGATGAATTTGTCTTAAATGACTGAATATTTGAATAAAGGCCAGCGCAGCAAAACCAGAGACTGAACAATAACTGCTAGATTACAGATCCGACAATTCAGTCTAACCTAGCTAAGGACTTCAGTTTTGCCGTTGATGTTTTTTTTTTTGGTATTTCATACAAATATAAAAGCGATTAAACACGCGCTCCTGGAGCGTTACATTCAGCCTGGCCATTGCACGCGACCTGTCCCCAAGTCGCTTGAAGCCGGTGACCTCGTGCTCTGTTCGTTGAAAACGGCTCTCACGCGTGGGCGAATTTTGTTAACGGCTTTGAAACTCTTATGTCTTCAAAACGTTTCACTTAATACACAAATAAAATATTCTTAGCTGGATCATACCTACAAGAGTGAAACTACGTAGTCACATGTCCCTCCTAACGATGGACAACCTGAGTTTAGGAACAATTTAAAATGTTACTTTTTACCTGAATGATCCTTTTCTTCAAAAGGTGACTATACTTTTTGCCTGCCCCGCTTGTGACTACGATCATCAAGAACCTTGTTCTACTACATTTATTGCTCAACTTGTGTAGATCAATAGACTCCTTTAATCTTAATGAAGTGAAAGGTTTAAATAAAATGTCCTGATTCAATGAGCTGCTCTTAATTTAAAGTGCTACATTATGTACCAGGTCTTAGCACAGGGTTGGCTATTTGTCCCCTGAACAAAAAATATTTAAAAGGTACTGGTTTGCATAATACTTTACTCTTTATTTAGCTTACACCTTTATCCAATCAACTACAAAGCCCTGAGCTTGAAACCTCAAGGTTTCCTCCTACAGCTTCCTCAGCCACTACTCAGGGAATCTCAATACTCTTGCACACTCTTCTCCTGGATAAATCCTAGTTCATACAGAGGCTGTCAAGACATTCATCACAAAACACTGTTCAGTCCCAGTCCCTCTGACCCTATGTACCAGCAGAGAAGCCCACAATCCCCAATTTAAACACCAGTCATCTTGCAACAGTACTTATTCAACGAGGTGGTTCTGATGACATCTTTAAACATTTCATGAACATCAGGCCTTTAAAACCACATGAAGAAAAACACACATTCCATCGGTTACTATACAATAAACGTTTTATTGGAAGAAATACCTGTCTTAATAGACATCTATATTAAAGAAGGCATGCACATATCCCTGCCGGGCTTACATCTATAATCTGCTATACACAGATTATAAAGATATTTTACAGATGTATGAACAGAAATGAACTTGTTTAAAGTTGGAATGTCACTCACACAAAATATATCAAGTTTTTTCTTGATCTCCTGAATTTCAGACAAACGCGAAGACAAAAGGATCAGGTACAAGCCCGTACTGCCGGATCGTAGCATTTTATCCTGGGAACAATTGGAGAAGATAGACTGCAGAGAAAGATTTCAGGACAGGCAAACTAAAGCACAGCTCAGGGTCTCTACCTGCTAACTGAAATAAGTTCCTCATACGAGAACAATGCAGTTTCAGCAACCAAGTGAAATGTTTGGGATACACGCGCAAAGAAATAAACAAACAACATGAATGAACCAAGGACACTCCTTGGAAACCTTCTATATACCCCAGGTATAACAAAGCACTTCACTCTATAGTGATATAGCCAGCAGCTATATCACCCTGCAACTCACAACTGGCAGCATACTGAAGCTTAGCAGGTGTGAGCCTGGTCAGTATCTGGATGGGAGACCTCCTGGGAAAACTAAGGTTACTGCTGTTAGTGGGGCCAGCAGGGGGTGCTCAACCTGCAGTCCATATGGGTCCTAATGTCCCAGTATAGTGATGGGGACACTATACTGTAAATGGGCGCCGTCCTTCGGATGAGTCGTTAAATTGAGGTCCTGACTCTGTGGTCATTAAAAATTCCAGGGCATCTCTCAAAAAAGAGTAGGCGTCCTGGCCAAGTTTCCCCATTGGCCCTTACCAATCATGGCATCCTTATCCCCATCTATGAATTGGCTTCATTACTCTGCTCTCCTCCCCACTGACAGTGATAGCTGGTGTGGCGCACTGTGGCTGCCATCGCATCATCCAGGTGGAGCTGCACACTGGTGGTGGTGGAGGGGAGCCCCCATTACCTGTAAAGCACTTTGAGTAAGTATATTGAGTATAAGTGTAAGCAATTATTATAAATGTTACCTCGTAACTGAAATAAGTTCCTCATAGGAGAACAATGCAGTTTCAGCAACCACGTGAAGCGTTTGGGATACCCTTACAAAGAAATAAACAAACATTGAATGAACTTGGAAACCTTCCATATACCCCAGGTATAACAGAACACTTCACTCAGTCAGAGACCTCCATTACTCACAGACAAGTGTTATTACTGGGTAATAACAACAGGTTCCATTCTTTGAGCCACCCCAACTCTCGTTATCAAAACTGCCGGCCGTTTTGTAGGTGGAAGTTCATCCTCTTCCTAGGATGAAGGGAAAACAAACGGGACACGATTCAATGTTTTCCAGGGATCAGCAGTCATTTTTTCACATTAGTGTTTTTCAGTTCTCAAGTGTGTGTGATGTGTAAATTTGGCACTATGAGCTCAGTCGCTGCATTCAGCTCCTGTACCGGACTAATACTGGCAAGCTGGTCACAAACCAGGAACACCAAGAACATCAGCAATGGCCTTCTGTGGCAGTTTTGGATAATAGTCAACTGTCTTTATGGTTTATGCCACACATACACATCCAGGAATCCTTTTCTTCTGGACTGCTCTCGGCTTTGTGGTGCTGTAGCTACGCGTACAGAGTCAGGGGCTCAGGGCCTCCTCTGTTAGAGATGCACCTCTTACATCTGGAGCAGAGCCCATGTCCTCGGAGACCCACCTCTGTGCTGTCTTCACAGAACAACCAGCAGCAGATACACAGGGCCATCTGTCCCTGCTAACACCACACCCGGATCCATTCCTTCACTGGTGGTTTCTGCCTTTTCTAATCAGCAGATGACGTATCCCTGGACAGCCTGTTTTTTTAACCCTAACAGGCTTTCACAAACCCCCCAGGGGGAGGCGCGTTTGGGTGCGGCGAGCAGCAGGCCGAGACGTAAGCCCGGCAGGGATATGAGCTTGCTCGCCTACACCGCCCGGCCACATCAGCAGCCCTTGATTGTCTTGACAACAACAACGTAGGGGTTCCGACCCAGGTGGAGCCTCTGGTGACGTTTCAGCCCGCGCAGGTCCCGGTAGCGCTTCCCGCACTCGTCACGTCACAGCTGTACACGTTGCCGCCAGCGTGGACGCTCTGGTGCCACCGCAGGGCCCGCGTCTCCTTGAAGCCCCAGCCGCAGGTGGTGCAGCAGAATGGCATGTCGCCCAGGTGGGTCCGCTGGTGCCGCCAGAGGGTGACCAGCTGGCTGAAGCTCCTGCCGCAGGGGGTGCAGCGGTAAGGCGTCTCGCCAGTGTGGACGCGCCGGTGCTTGGTCAGCGTGCCCAGCTCGCGGAAGGTCTTCCCGCAGTGGCTGCAGGAGTACAGGCTCTCCCCCCAGTGTGGGTGCGCTGGTGTTTGGCGAGGGCGCCCGACTGGCGGAAGCTCTTCCCACATGCGCTACAGGCGTACGGGCTCTCCCCCTTGTGGATGCGCTGGTGGGCCCGGAGCGTCCCCAGCTGGCTGAAGCTGTTGCCGCAGTCCGCGCAGCTGAAGGGCGTCTCCCCCGTGTGCGACCGCAGGTGCACCTTCAGGTTCCCCGAGCGGGTGAAGTGCTTCCCACACTCGGCGCATGGGTAGGACACCTTCTTCCTCTCCTCCTGCAGGTCCAGGCCCTGTGGCAGAGGCTGAGGGACCCTCTCCTGGCAGTCAGCATACTCCTCCCAACCTTTCAGGACCATGTGCGGAAGGCACCCCTCCCCGCCCAGCCCACAGTCCCCAGGACCTCCTCGTGGGCAACAGGGCTCAGCCGCACAACTGCTGCGCGAATATTCCAAGTCAGGCATCTCCTCCTTGATGCCCAGGCCTGTAGCGTCAGCTACAGGCCTGGGTATCAAGGAGGAGATGCCTGACTTGGAAGCGTCAGCGGTATCTTGTTTCTGGATGCCTGACTGTAGCGTTAGCGGTATCTTGTTTCTGGCAAGATACCGATGTCAAGGCATTCCTTCTTAACGCAGGGATCATCCAAGCCAGCAGCAGCAGCCCCCACCTCATGCGCTGCATCCATTTTGTCAGCCTCGGTCCTTTTCCCAGAGGTCTTCATCACTGCTTTCCTGCACAGCCACAACAGAAGAGGCCATCAGGAGCACTGAAGCACTGATGCTAACACAGCCGCAAAACAAGACTCCTCAAGCGCATCTTCAGAAGTCTGAGGTTTCTACAAATGCAGCCATGCATTCTGTGTGGGAGAGTGGTAGAGCGATTATTTTCAAACAAGACAACGACCATATTTGAAACTGTCAAAATAAATAGTATTTAAAAATAGAAGCTGTGCAATTATATAAGTCTGCCGCAGGTTCGTGCCTGGGTAATTTTACTAGCATTACCCAGGCAGCAGCGTGTGATTGGCTGAGTGCAGCTGAGGAAAGGCCTGTGATTGGTCAACCTGGGGTTCGCCCAACCCCTGCAAATAGCAACCCCTCCCCTTCCCCTGTGCTCCCAGCATGGAGCTGAGCACCTCTTAGGCTGGAAGGATATAGAAGTTTGCCTACATTTCCCTGTTCCCTCCTTTGCATGGGTGCAGTGTTTATAGCTGTGAACCACTGCTACCTAGCTATTCCAAATCAGGTTGATGAAATAAAAATAAGACATCTAGGGAAGTGGCTAATGTTGCCCAGAAAGGTTGAGGTTGCAGACTGTATAACTCATTTTTCTTACTTCCTGGCTTTTATTAAAAATCTTGTTTTAGGATGGTGGCAGAATTAAAATACTTTACATCCTTTTTCAACCAAACAATACGAATTGTAATGTTTTTTATTTCCTAAGTAGGTCTGAATGATGAAATATTTGAGAAGGTGGGGTCATTATTGCCTGATGTATTAACTTCAGAGACTTGTTTCAACAGGTAGAGCAAATTTAGAGGAATATTCCATTTTAAGGCAATGTAAAACTGCCCAACTTCGTGTACCTTCTATATAGGAATGCATAAACATTTCATTTTATAAATTAACATCATCATTATGGCATTATCATATATGACCATAAATAAATTATTGAGCTATCCGGTAGTACTCTCCAGAGTTAACTGGAAAAAACTCCAAACACTCTATCCAATTTGTCTGTGCTGCAAAAACATCATACACAGGCATTGCTGTGTTAAAATAGATTACTCATAAAAAATGGATTAATACCACTATATAGTAAAAGCATATGCAGTGTTGCACTGTGAATCAAAAGCAACAAAAAATGAATAATACGCAAAAATAATTATTACTATACCCCCGCATCCACACATCGTCCAAGGGAAACATCTGAAAACCTTTTTTTATCTCTACTTTGGAGTATACAGTAATTACAAAAGTAACGGGATAGTACAGTGCCTGTGTGGCACACACGGTGTAAGTTATCTATCGTTCTGCCATCCTGGATACAGCAACACTGACACCTTACAAAACCCAACAAGCCTCACTCCGCAGGCAATGCACCGCTTCCGGTTAGCAGTGCAACTTCAGAGAGCGTTCGCAAAGAGAA